ATGGCCCGTGAGAAGACACAAGTGGATTTTGTTTCAGTAATTTACACTAGCATGGCTGCACATCATAATACAAGTAGCCATACAAAGAGAGAGATTGCTCAGTGAAAGAGAGGGTGCTTACTCCTTGTCGGTCAATATTCAATCTTCTTGTGTAGTGCTCGTCCAGCCAGTACACCAGGCTGACTCTGAGGACAGAGTCGAGGATGGAGTTGTATAATTTGTTCACGGGAGGTTTGCTCGCTGCCATAATCTCTTGAGCCTCTCCTCCTGCTTTTCTTTACCAGCTAGAAGAGGAGAAAAGGACCTCAACAGATCAGGAACAAACTAGTGAGCTGATCAAAGAGAAGTGAAACAATAAGAGAGGAAAGCGAGTGTACATGTACATGTATAAGAGCATCATTAATGATTTAAACAGTCTATAATTATATAATGAGAGAGAGGGAGGGAGGGGAGAAAGGGAGGGGGTATAGTGCATGTTATTACAGTGGGGGAGGAGTTACTCTACAATATGTTTTGGCATTGCTTTATAGTAGGGAGTGTGGCATTGTAGACATTCACAAAATATAATAAATTTTAAAATATGAAAATTAACAATAATCTGACTCCTTGAAAACAATAACAAGAAATTAATTCATAATGATTATACACTAACAGTGATTCCTCTCCCTCCCTCTCTCTCTCTCTCAAACTACACATGTATACTTTTCTGAGAAATATTTTTTGAGTTATGAGCTATTTTAAAAACAGTTAATTTTAGAATAATACCCAAAGCTATAGTCTATGGTATTTTCCAAAACATGGCCCTGAAATCAGTCAAATTACCAATATTTTTACATTTTCAGATACAGATTGATGTACTAAGGCTATGTAACAAGTTTGAGCTGATCCTGACAATGTTTTTCAAGCAACAACCATTGTTAGAAACGGCAATTTTTAAAAAATACACAAGGCTCCATGGTTTGTTTCAAACAATGGCTCCAAAATCACCCAAAATTTTATTACATTTTCTGATACAATATTGATGTTCTTATGCCGTGTAGAAAGTTTGAGCTGATTCCAAATAAAATATTTTTAGAGTTATGAGCATTATTTTAAATGGCCAACTTTTGAAAAATACATGTACCCAAGACTATGCTTTTCTGCAAAAAAGATCCCAAAATTAGCCCAAATTTGCATTTCATTTTCTGATACATATTGATGTACTTACATGTATGTTGTGTAGAAAGTTTCCGGCAGGCAATTCTGACAAATATTGTGGCAATTAAAAAAAGGCTAATTATTTTATCCAAAAATGGCCCCAAAATCACCCTAATTTTTATTACATTTTCTAATACAGATTGATGTACTTGAGCTACATGTACATTGTATGTAGAAAGTTTAAGCTGATTCCGGCTTCAATTTCTAAAGTTACTACCATTTCTTCCAGAAATATTATACCTCCAATATTTACTATTACTATCACTTACAAAGTACATGTAGTTGTAAGACACAGTCTTCCTTCCTCCACAGGTAGCGAAGGGACGGGGCAAGACTAGTCCACCTACTCAACCTATGAAGAATAATAAATATATAAATAATAAAATCACATTACTTAATTGTAACTTATGTGAACCATAAAAATTAATACTGAAAATGAGTAAAATCAAACACCCAAGTTGTAAAAATTTATAAAAATCTAATTTTGATCAGAATCAGCTCAAACTCTCAACACAACATAAAAACATGTACCCGTACATTATGTATCAGAAAATTATATAAACATAAATTTTCTTCAATTAATTTTTTTGGCAAATTTGGCCCATGACCCCGCAGAGACTTTGATCCCATTTTTGAGCAACTTTAAAAATTCGTAAAAATCTAATTTTGATCAAAATACGCACAAACTTTCTACACAACATAAGCTTGCGTAGCCAGACCCTACTTTATTTCCATCATTTAAAGGTATACATGCATCAGGAAAGGTATGCTGGTATTAAAAGAGAAAATTCATAAATTTACCTTATTTTCTGGTCCTGGTCACTCATCAGTGTTTTCTTTATTAATTTTTTTATCAAGCCACGCCCAAAGTCCTTGCCCACGCAGTCCACGTGATACCACGTGTGTAAAATGGTGTCTAACTCATCGTGTCAAGAAAACTTTTATACCCCAACTAGTCTCGGCCCAGCCTATACCCCAACTAGTCATGATGATGACACTACTGTGTCTATTGTATATTGGGGCCATAATCCTCCAGTACACGACATTACCAGTTTGACCAGGTACAGAGCTTTGGATTTTGATACTGACTATTATACTGTGTATTTAATAGGACAGAGGAGGATAAAGGAGGAGCTACTGGTACTAAAATGGGACCAATTTGTGTCTTAAACTTATACAGGAAGAGAATCAACGGAGAGTTTGTGGTTAGACCAATTAACACTATCACTTAAAAGCCTTTATGTATCATTTTAATTAATGCTCACCACAATTTCCAATTAATGCTCATTTTTTCCTAGTTATGTCCGAGACTATTATTACTAGGAATGGAGTCTGGGGACAGGGACAGGATTGTCAGTCTTAGTAAAAATGGGTGTGTTGATGTGGTAGTGGTGTGACTAGTTATTAATGTTATATTAATAGTTGCATAGAATCTTGGGATGGTGAAGATTGAAGAATGTTAATAATCTTGGAAATTTAATGCATTATGGGTTGTAGTGATAATATTAATGGAGCATTATGTAAATCAGGGTTTCCCACATTAAATTGTACTTAGTGAGCTAAACAGCATAAACACTGGATTAGCTTTAAAATTTATTTAGAAAATCCAATTTTGATTGGAGTCACCTCAAACTTTCTACACAACATACATGTAAGTGCATGTACATGTGTGTGTATCAGAAAAGTTATGAAATGGAGAATTCTCTCTTTTTTAATTTTCACATAATTTGGCTTGAGACCATGTTGTAGTACAGTGACTTTGACCTGGTTTTGAGCAACATACCCATGTCAATCAACTTAAACTTCCCCCCTCTCTCTCTCTCCCTTGCCATTTCTATTATTTTAGTCAATAGCACGTCGTGCTATTAAAGAAACCTTGATTGCAGCTTTGGGACAATATCATAATATATTTATACTTGATCCTAATACACTGGAGGTATACTGTTGGTAAACCAATCAAGCGTCAGATGACCCACTTACAGTTACTTCATTCCTCCATTTGTTCATTAGCCTCTGTACCATCCTGCTCTGTTCCTTCTGGCTTTGCTACTACTAATATCGCCCAGTCAATATTCCTTATACTGGGATCATTCCTTGATGAGATTGGAAAGGAGTCGCTGGCAAAAAAAAAACAAAATTCTTTGGAATAAATTCAAAGATTACATTAAAAAAGATTTGCTGAAGGCGTACAGAGTTGGTGCAGAGTCTATCATT